CTCCACTAAACTGGACACCTCTGTAGTGTTTTTCCTGGCAGAGCTGCTGTTTCTCGATTGGTGAATCTTTTAAATTTAACTGCGCTTTGTTGGTATTGGTTTCTGAGCTGATACGGTCATCATTTATTTTTACTCTGGTTCTAACATTGACCACTAGAAACATTCACTTTCTAACATCACTGCACTGCACTACAGTAATGCTCATTTCTGCTAGCATTCTATTAAGCAATGTTAAGTTAGCGCCTAAGCCAGAGGTCGGCAACCCAAATGTTAAGAAGAGCCATTTTGTCCTTTCAACAGAAATCAAGCCACTTTGGGAGCCACAACATTTTATGTCCATTTTACTATCTTGGCTGTAAATATTATATATTTACATATTTATATTATATAATATAAACAAAACGCAGACAGGCATCTCTGGCAGGAAACTTTTCTGCAAAAGTGGAATAGTTTCTTGTAAAATGTCGCTCCACGTTCACCCTTTTACGAGGCTTAAATCATCTTTTTATTCGCCAGGTTCTTGCACCTTAAATTGTGCCTAAGGCACCAGAATGTAGGCCTGACACCAGCACCATTTTAGGTGGAGCAGGAAAATTTGAACGAGTAGCTGAAGAATGAGAAGCTGACTTCAGCCTTGTGACTTTTTAGTGTTTGACAGTTTCCCGTTGCAGATTAAACGTATCAGGAAACCAGCTGAGTGCTTATAAATGCAAATAAATCCAGTCATCTCCAAATTATCAATGTTCGTCTTAAATCTTTCTCTTTGTCTTTTTCATTAGCTACTAGATGAGATTGTTGTCTGTGCTGCTATGACCAGCAGTCTGTGTGCCAAACTTCAGGGTTAAAGGGTAAATTAGCAGTTATACATCAACTCCAGTGTTTATTGTTTAAACTGTGTTGAACGATCAGCAGAGCTTTATTTTACTGCTGAAGAGGTTTATTTTATTTTTACCTAAAAATCTAATCCTGCTGTGGAGCCACAACAGGGCAGTAAAAGGGCTGCATGCAGTTGCAGTGTTGCAGTAAATCCTTCAGTAAATACTTCAACTTGAAGCCTCACTTATAAAAGTGGAGATTTTAGTATCTTTAGTAAACATACCTCACTTTACTTACAGCTGACAAATACAACTTATGAGCTCTTATAACATGTTATGAACACTACTTATTATGCAATATGTTAACAATTCATAACGTATAATAAGCATGGCTATAAAATGTAATGCATTTTTATAAGCATTCTTAGCTATAAAATGTTAATGATGCCTTATGAATGCATTATAACATGTTATGAATCTGTTCATAGGTTCTTGTAGACATGGTATTAATAGAAAGTGTTACCGAATAGTCTCATTCTAAAGTGGTACTTATTTATACAACTACAGCGTTGTTATAGATTATTACTTTGCAATATGGAGTAGGCATCTATATTCATATAACTATTATTATAGTTTTTGTTTTGCATATCGTGGTATTGTCCAGATTACGGCTGATACTAGCGATTTTATTAGTATCCTGCACTAATCAATAATAAAAAAAGGGCTGAAGTGAACAGTAAATCATGTAACTTATATTCTGTTTTGTAATGTGAGAGCAGTAGGCAGGTCCATTATATGTGTTATTAGGGTAAGCAAAATGAACTAAATTCAATCAGACACTGGAGTTTTTAATACTGTGTCCACTCACTGTCCACTCTATTAGACACACCGACCTTGTTGGTCCACCTTGTAGATGTAAAGTCAGAGACAGTAGCTCATCTACAGCTGAGTTGGTCATCCTCAAGTCCTTCATCAGTGGTCACAGGACACTGTTGACTGGATAGTTTTGGTTCTCTGTCCAGCAGCGACAATGAGGTGCTTAAAAACTCCAGCAGCACTGCTGTGTCTGATCCACTCATACCAGCAGGACACACACTAATACACAGTGTCACTGCAGTGCTGAGAATGATCCACTATCCCAATAATACCTGCTCTGTGGTGGTCCTGAACACTGGAGAACAGGGTGACACAAAGTATGCAGAGAAACAGACGGACTACGGTCTGTAATTGTAGAACTATAACGTGCACCTGTATGGTCAGTGGAGCTGATAAAATGGACAGTAAGTGTAGAAACAAGGAGGTGTATTTAATAAAGTGGCTGGTCATATTGTCCACTTCTAATACAGGTAATTTTTTTTGTATTACTGTACTGCAGATTAAATCCTAAATATTTATATATATGCACAAGTCACTGTTTAACAGTATGTACATTATTCTGCAAAAAGAATTGTCATTATTAGAGAATATGGCAGATTTTTTCACTTTTTTCCTGTGTCCCCCCCAGACGCTTGAGATTGGCATCCAGTTCAGTAGAGCTCAGAAGAAGAAGTGAAAAATACTGGAGAAAGTTATCAGTTCCTCCATCTTTCTGCTTGTGCTATCTTTTGTCCCTCTGGGGCCATGAACACTTTTCTGTTTCATTATAAATGTTTGGCGTTAACTCTGACTTTAAAGAGGCAATATTATAAAGAACTGAATATTTCTGTGCTCTCTGGTTTAAATGTGTTACGTAAACACTTAGTGTTTCAAAATGTACTGTCCACTCCCCAGCCTACACGTGGAACCTAAGCTGCAAAAAAGGTGCATTTTGACTCCATCATGGTTGTGATGTCACAACCATGATTGTATTTACATGTGGCAGACCTTTCGGCCTACCTTAGTTTAGCCCCACTCATTCACACTGATGAGTGTTACTGCAGTCTGTAATACTGGAGTGGAAGATGTTGGAAAAAAGGATTAAACGTTGTGCTGTTAATGGCTGTCAGGAAGAAAATGCATCTCTACAGCCTTTCAAGAGATCCACACATTTAAAATAAACAGCTGCAGATTCAGTCAGTTTCACATTTTAACTGCTTTCTGAAAGAGGCATAATCCAGAGCAGCCAATCAAGGCCACCTATATAGTCATACGCAAAAGGTTGAGCAGCCCAGCCAAATTGAATATTAACACATACTTTACAGGGACCTTAAATACGGCATTTTCTTCTGATTTTAGTGCATAATTTGCATTTACAACCCCATTTCCAAAATAGTTGGGACGCTGCGCAGAATGTAAATAAAAATAGAATGCAACGATAAGCAAATTATGTAAACCATATTTTTGAAGGAAAATACTACAAAGACAACTTATTAAATGTTGAAACTGCGAAATTTTGTTATTTTATGAAAAATATATGCCCTTTTTGAATTCGATGCCAACAACACGTTCCAAAAAAGTTGGGACGGAGGCATGTTTACTACTGTGTTTCATCACTTCTTCTTTTAACAAACTCTGTAAGGGTTTGGGAACTGAGAACACAGATTGCTGTAGTTTTGAAAGTGAAATGTTTTCCCGTTCTTGTTTGATATAGGATTTCAGCTGCTCAGCAGTTCGGGGGCTCATTTGTTGTATTTTTCATTTCATAATGTGCCAAATGCTCTCAGTGGGTGACAAGCCTGGACTGCCAGTTTAGCACCCGGACTCTTTTAATACAGAGCCATGCTGTTGTAATACAAGCAGAATTGGTTTTACATTGTCTTGCTAAAAATAATCAAGGCCTTCCCTGAAAAAGACGTCGTCTGGATGGCAGCATATGTTGCCAAAACATGTATATATCGTTCAGCATTAATGGTGCCTTCACAGATGTGCACGTTACCCATGTCATGTGCACTAATGCACCCCTATACCATCATGAATACTGGCTTTTGAACTGTGCACTGATAACAAGCTGAGTGGTTTTTTTAGCCCAGAGGACACAGTGTCCATGATTTCCAAAAAGAATTTCAAATTGATTTGTTGGACTATAAGTCACTTTTCCACTTTCCCTCGGTCCATTTTGAATGGTCGTGGGCCCAGAGAAGGTGGCAGCATTTCTGGATCCTTTTCATATATGGTTTCTTCTTTGCGTTTTTAAAGTTTTAACTTGCATTTGTGGATGCAGCGACAAACTGTTTTCACAGACAGTGGTTTTCAGAAGTGTTTCTGAGCCCATGCAGTGATTTCCACTACAGAATCATGTCTGTTTTTATTGCAGTGCTGTCTGAGGGCCCAAAGATCACGGCCAGCAAACACTGGTTTTTGGCCTTGTCCCTTACACACAGAGATTTCTCCAGATTCTCTGAATCTTTGAATGCTATTATGTACCGTAGATGATGAAAAGCAAAAGTTCTTTGCTATTTTACGTTGAGAAACGTTATTTTTGAATTGTTGCACTATTTGATCGTGCAGTCTTTTACAGAGTGGTGAACCCCTCCTCATCTTTACTTCTGAAAGACTCAGCCTCTCTGGATGCTCTTTTTATACCCAATCATGTTACTGACCTGTTCCCAATTAACCACCAATTGCTTTTTTTTTTTTAGGTTTACAGAACTTTCCCAGCCTTTTGTTGCCCCTATCCCAACTTTTTTGGAACATGTAATTGGCATCAAATTCACAAAATGGGCATATATTTTCAAAAAAAAAAAAAACAATAACATTTCTCAGTTTCAACATTTGATATGTTGTCTTTGTACTATTTTCAATGAAATATAGCGTTTAAATGATTTGCACATCATTGCATTTTGTTTTTATTTACATTTTGCAAATTGTCCTGACTTTTTTGGATATAACATAAAATATAAAAAGTGCCAATATTTTTGTCCACATTCTTTGTTTTATTTTTTCCCCAATATGTTACATTGAGCAATTAAACAGTAATTGTTTATTTAAATGTACACAGGTGTTCTCTGTAGAGGATGTGTGTAACTTATTTTCACTTAGAAAATCTACAAAACGTCATTTGACCAGGGGCATCAACACTTTTGCATGTGACTGTATTTCAGTCTTTATGATACAGTAACAATAACAGACTGTTCTTAAAAATGGATAAAGAGAGACTGGAAATGGTCTTGTAAAAACTGGGTTGAATGATGTCTCTTTCTAGAACATAAGACCACACAGACCTTACAGTCGGACTTCAGAAGGAAAAAATAAAATACAAGGAAAATGTAGAATATGAGCCCTTTAATCTTGAACCATAATTTTGACCCAACCCAGACTGTAAATACAGTAGAACCTAAGAATTCACTTTGTATGTTGTCCATGCCAGCCGTTTTTTCTAGTGCCAGCTGCTCTGCTTGTTCTTGTCACTGTCCAGCGCAGCAGTGAAGCCACAGGCCAGTGGACCGGATGGAGGGAATGGACAGGGCTAAAGCTAATGAAATCAGACCCTGCAAATGTAAGTAAACACAGGACAGTGTTTATGCAGAGAGGGTGGGTGCGTCCCGATGGGGCCGAGTGTCCACTGGAGCATCAAACCACAGAGATAACCACCAACATCTTAAAGTGAAATACAACAATGCTCAAGGGCTGGGTTTCTCAGAAGCATCTTAGCATGGTAGAGCGAGCATCACCCTGAACACTCTCTCTAGCAGTTCTTAACAATAAGATGCTTTCGGGAAACTTGGCCCAGATTGTGCAGGTTTGTCAGAGGCAGCTATAAATGACTGTAAGAAGCTTCATTAGGAAATGAGAAAATTTTCAGTTTTATTAAGATGTTTGTTTTTCCATATCTACAACTTCAATGATTCAAATGTATTTAGTTTATGTATTGTCAGCTTTTGTTCAGAGCAGAAATACCTCCCCTCTTCTGTCTTCCACAAGGAAGAAGTCATTTGGAGTGCTAAGGCCTACAGATGTCCACTCATTCTCAGAAATGAATAATCAATTCAAATCAATCAATCAAAGCAAATTTACATCACGTTCTCTTGATTTTGTGTCTTGGCACTTTCCTGTTACAATGAAACCATTCTAAGAAATCATATCTTAAAGGAACAGTTCAAATAGCGAAATATCAGCAGTTCACAATTTTCCCCTTATCACAAAGCCGCACAGCCAAGATGCATCTGGTGTCTGAAGTTTGCTCCTTTAGTTGTGCACAATGTACAGGCAAAATTAAAACATTCTCGTTTTTTATCGAGATCTTATTATGACATTTGTGGGGTTTTATGTACTAAAAACATGACCATTTTCCAACCTTTCTGTATGCCTTAGCCTGGCCCAACATGCAAAAACTTTCATGCAACTTTGGTTGCTTAAAACCTACATGGCACTAAATTGCACTTGACTTGTAAAGCTGCCTGCAACTCACATGAAACTCTCAAACGTCTCAACAAAACAAGTTTCACGAAACAGCCAATCAAAACACTGATAACGCATCACACGATCACGTCAAACAACTGATTTCAGTGCATTAGCGGAGAGATGGTTTATTGGGCTGTTGAAAAGAAGACTCCCTCTCAAGACTCACTCAAGGTCAGTCATGTTGTCAGTTTTGAGCCATGACAACAAACATGAGTTTCTATGTGTTAAAAAAGCAACGGCAATGACAGCTGGAAAAATATACGAAGATGATAAAAATTCTGGAAATATGTAATAATTACACCCCACGAATGACTTTATAGCGAGAACGATGTGGTGTAACAAAATTTGCTAATTTGTCCAACTAGTGGAATCGAATGTGTTGCATGTAACTTTGATTTAAATTGCTTTGAAGTTTCAATGCATAAAGCCAGCCTTAGAATTAAAGAGGCTGCCTTTGTTACTGTGCCTTTAAAGCTGATGTATGTAAATGTTGTTCTGTATTCTTCTTTTTCTGTATTGTGCTTTATTCGAAAAGCAGTCCAGGCTGAAACACTCCTTATAACTTCAGCATAAATAGGCGGAGCTAAGCTGCTGTAGGCTGAATGAATGCAAAAGAACTGCGGTTTATTTTCCGTATATGGACTGTATGGACTGAAAAATGAACAGTATGTTTTGAAATTAATCTTTAATTTCAGAAAAAAAAGAGAAATTCAGTTTCCTAGGAAATGAGCCTTTAAGGCTTCTTGATGGCTGCTGCAACTGTTTTCAGCAATGCGTCGTCCATTTTTAAAGATAGCAGTATGATTTGAGATGTCTTATAGCTACATTAGCCTCACAGCTCCAGCACAAAACTAAAGCAGCAAACTTTTGACACAAAACATGTCGTGGCTGATCGACTACATTTCTTACTGCTTTGGTTTTTGGCCACAGTTTTCCTTCAGCAGTGTCCACACAAAAAGGATATTAAGACCAGAATTATGACCCTGAATCACCAGACATGAACACAAGATAGAGTCAGATTTCCACGTTTCTTGTAAATCAGATAAAAATCACACAAACATAGTATAACCGGTTAAAGCATGTTCTTCAAAGTGAGTTGGGAATTCATTAATAAATAGACAGTTGTGATAAAAAAAGGAAAACTCCATGTTTGCATAATGGCAAAGATCCAGAAGTCCAACACCTCCATTCCTGCAATAAAAAGAAAGGCGGACGTCAGTTTTTCCATTTTTTTCAGTTGTATTTTGAGCATTCAGGCTTTGCAGTTTCCAGACCAGAGGACTGGGAAAAGCAAAAATGTTACTACAGCTCTGCTGCAAACCTAAATATAACCCTAAAACCACACAGTCTTTAACTTCGCCAAGAAAAAACGCAACCTTGCAGTCCCCTGGTCAAGAGCAGAAGTTCTACAAGACTTCCTGAAAATGTCTGAAAACAAGCGTCGGGCTTAATCATTCATTCAGCTTCTTGCCAAATGCAAAGAACAGCACTGGCCTTATTTGAGTGTGGGTGATATATCAAAAATATAACATCACAAGACTTGATGACATTTTCCCGATACACAAGATTTATCAGCTTATTCGGTTTTGTAATATTTATGACATTGGAATGAACAAAATGCATAAGCAAAATATTCAAAAATGCTATGAAAACTAAAAAAATATAAGGATTTTTGCTTCATAATTTATATTAAGAAGAAACAGAAGGACAAAATGAACAATTGGTAAACATGAATAAGATAATATCATAATGTGCTGATATCTAATCAACGACTAGTTACCCTGCAGTCTATGCAGTTCCTACACTGGCTGTTGTTGTTTACAAAGGTCTGCATGTGTCTTTTTATGATATATGCAGTTGTACAGTGTTGTACAGCCACCCCTGGACTTTCCTTGGCCCACTACACCCCTCCCCCTAACTCTCTCCTTCTGTCTCCAACTTCCTGTTGATGCAGTGAGTCTGCCTAGCTCACGGAAACCTCCCAGCGCTCTGGCCACACTCAGCAAAGAGCAGAGCGGATACATGTCCAACTCTCTTGGATAAAAATACCCCGCGCACGCAGCTGTGTGTGGCCTTCGAGAAATTCCAGGTTGGGTGGGCTAATCTAGCAGGACGGACAGTGGACAGGCTTAGAAGGTGATGTGTAGATGCTCTCAGATGGAGATCATGTTTTTTTCACATTGAGGACTTCTTTTTATATATAATCTGTCTTAAGTGAGTCTAAAGTGATGTTTCAGTCAATAATGTACAAAGTTTTTCCCCTTAGCTTAAATGTAGTCATGTTTGGTGTCTGCTTATTAGTCTCAGCTCGATGCTATCCAGCATGGGCATCCTTTAGCTTACTGAACAGAATTAGCAGTTAGTGTTCTCCTCCAAGCGTGTTGACCGGTCCACTAATTTTGCATTAGCGGCCATTTGAAAAGATGTGGTGGCGCTTCACATCACTCAAAGACGTGCTAGCCTTTACCGTTCTAGCGCTTGTAGCAACATGTGCCTGGGGGAGAACTAGCTAGCAGGTGGAACTGGACATGGCTAAACTGGGGAGAAAATGGGAGAAAAACGCCAAAAAAACACATTTTTTTCCTTTTTTTGTCATATACTTGTCATACAGTGTCAGAAACCACATTAATCTTGCAAGACCAGCCTTGATCTCGTAACGAAAATACACGTCTAGGGACAACTTGTTAATGTTTTAGTGCTGGATTGTGATGAAAACGGCCACTAACAACGGTACACCCTTCTAAAACCCACCCCCAGTACCTCTAGAGCAGGGGTCAGCAACCCAAATGTTAAAAAGATCCATTATGTTCTTTCAACAAAAATCAAACCACCATGGGAGCCAGAACATTTTATGTCCATTTAAAAATTCTGGCTGTAAATATGTCAGTACATGCTAATGTCCTAGTATAGGCTAAATATATATATATATATATATATATATATATATATATATATATATATATATATATATATTTATTTAAATGAAAATGCAGACTTACTTTGCTCTGCTTTAAGCTTTAGCTCAGCCATAACGTTTGATGTTTTTCTCACATCTCTGGCAGGAAACTTTTCCACAAAAGTAGAATAGTTTCTTGTAAAATGTCCCTAAACGTTCGATTTTTTCTACGAGGCTGAAGTCGCTTCTCATTCGCCAACTTCTTGTTCGAATTTCCTGTTCCACCTTAAATGTATGAATGTAACTGCGGCAACATTTAAGGTAGAACAGGAAAAAATCAAACAAGCTTCACGACTTTTTAGTGTTTGACAGTTTCTTGTTGCAGATTAAACCTGTCAGGAAACCAGCTGGAATGCTTATAAACGCAAATAAGTCCATTCATCTCCAAATTATGGATGTTCATCTTAAAACTTTCTCTTTATCTTTTCGTTAGCTAGTTCAATTGTTGTCTGTGTTGCTGTGGTGACCAACAGTCTGCGCACCAACCTTCAGGGTTAAAGGGTGAATTAGCAGATATAGACTTCATTAACTCCAGTGTTTAAGACCATTTAGTAAAACTATGTTAGAACGATCAGCAGAGCTTTTTTTATTTTTGCCTAAAAATCTAATTCTGCTGTAAAGCCACAAACAGGACAGTTACACAGCAGCATGTTGCCAACCCTGCTCTAGTCTGTTTAGCTCTGATAGCTTGTCTTTTCCCGGATATAGCTGGCAATTCTTTCCACATTACTCTTACCATGGCTGTATCACCATAACTGTTAACGGCAGAAGCCACAAACAGCCGCCAGTAACCCACTGTAAACTTTTATCTCCAGTCCAGTGGCGTCTTCTAAAGCTAAAGTGTAGTCTGGTTTAATGGAACTGTCTCCACTTGTGAGAAGTAGGCTTTTACATACTTCCAGGGGCTAACAATAGACTCGCTGTCCAACAGTCAATGTTGATGAGCGCATCATCGCCCCCTACTTTGAGCTTCATCTTTATGAAGCATTGGATTAATTTAGAAATTTCACTCTCACCCTAATAAATCTACATTTAGCCCAAAATGTCACATGGTTGTCCCCAGACATCTTGTTAAGAGACTAAAAACTCATAAATGAGTTTTTTCAAGATTACTTAACAAGTTCACACGGTTTGAGTCACGTGTTTGAGCGTATAGTTTACACGATGCTAATTGGTGGCTATACGATTCTACTACTTGCTAGCTACATTAGCCTTGTAGCTCCAGTACAACACTACAGAAGCAAACTTCAGACACCAAAAATGTCTTGGCTGATCACAAATATTCAGGATAGCTGGAATACTGTAAATTAGATGTCTGGCTCAATTATGATAGATGAGAAATCCCAAAAGCCGTATCATTAAGGTGCTGTTCATTCAAATTCCTGAATAAATAAGGATAAATAAAGCATTACAAAGCTGGGTCTTGATCTTGGCATGTTTTTCAGAGAAGCTGGCTACCTTGTGTTTAGAAGATGGAGCACGAGCGTGGCTCTCGGAAGGGATTACTGCCCGTTGGCACCCCGACCAGGAGGGCATCTTTGCTGGCGTTCTGAAGGCAATACTGCTGGAGCTCAGCTGCAGCCTGAGACACCTACACAAAGCACATTCGCACACACACACACACACACACACACACACACACAAACACACACAAACACACACACTTTAAATACTTTATTTAGTTCCATATAAAAGACTATTTGATTAAAAGGATTCAAAGTTTTATGAAAAGAATCCAATACTCCAAAACTGCTGTACAATTTCATGAGTGAACCTATATATACTTAACACTTGTGTAGGTTTATGTAACAAAACGGTCAATTTTTGAGAATAATTTTCAGAATTAGAATTAAAAAAAGCTGTTTTTGTAAGCCTGTCTTTAAAACTGATATGTAAATTGTCTCTGTTTTGATTGGCTGTGTTGCCTTGTCTTGTACTGCATCACATTCAGAGAGCAGTCCAGACTGAAACACTCCTTATAACTTCAGTGTGAGTGGGCGGGGCTAAACTGCTGCAGGCTGAATAGGTGGATATATGCAGATGCACTGGTTTTGTGACATCACAAAAACAAACAATTCAACATGTGCTGGATTTCAGCGTAATTTCTATATACACTGTGGCTTGAAAGTATAGAGCTGTATTTGTCACATACAATAATAAATACGATGCAGATTTAAATCTTAGACGTTTTGACACTGTAAATTATATACTTATATATACTTATATATTTACAAACATTTCTCAAGCTTTCTACCTTAAGATCACCACTTTTCAAATATGAGGCATATTGCGAATATTATATTATTGTTATATATCATTGTGAATATGTATTATCACTTCATTCTCAGTGTTATATAGTTTAATTAGTCATTTTAGAATCACATCCAGCTCAGTTCTTCATTCTGGACACACAGTTTCTTAATTTCCAGCTGATTATTTGAAAGTTGAACATGACTATAAGCAAATTTTACATATCCATATACACTTATCTGAAACTACATTAGTTTTATATTGCTCAGAACCAATCTTTTGGACCATATTGATTGGGGAGTCATTTATTTTTTTTTGTGATCAAGAAATAAACAACAAGGGGATGGGGGGCAACAGACCGCCAAACACAAGAGACATGGACAGCAACAATGATCATAAGTACAACATCACAAAATTAAATAAGGGATGAAGTGTCCATATTCAACGTATACCTTGTAGGAAATCCAAAATACGTAGCACAAAATTTTGCCATGTTTCAACAGTCATGTGCTTAGCATGGTTAAGTCGCGCAGCCGTACATTCGAGTTTAGCTTTGTTAAGTAAATGGGAGTCATTTTTTTAAAGCTAAATCAAACTATTTTATTTCAAAAAAGGAAATTGTGTTTTTTCATAAAATGGGCCCTTTAAAAATCTTGAACCGTCTATCATTTTGTAGGTTATTTGAACGACGTTCCAGAACAGACATATACACAGACTGTATAAACAGAATATAGACTAGTCCACCATCTGTTATTGTGTGAAATGGAACAGTGTGGACTTTTTCATCTTAACCGCTCCATACAGCTCAGACTACAGGTACAGTCATAGATTCTGTTTTGATGAATCATTTGCTGCATGCAAATACTTAGTGTCTGCAGTCGTCCTCCTACATTCAGTTACTTTGGGTCAAAACACTGAGATTATAGAGGCAGGTATACACTGAAAAACAGCATGTGGGCCAGTATATCAGTAACACATTTCAGACGAGAAATCAGCTCGTACTACATACGTACTGCTCCTATATTATTTTTCCACTGCTTATGCACAGTGGTCAAATGACATCTTTTGAAAATAAGTGAACACATCCTCTACAGAGAACAAACCTCTGCACATTTTAATGCGCAATTACTGTTTATTTGCTGATTTTAACACACAATATGCAGCATGTGCAAAAGTTATGGCAGATTTTATGTTTCAATTTTCCAATATGTTATACTTGGCAAATAAATAGAAATTCACACGTTCCACGCAGAAAAATATCATGTTCTCTGCAAAGAATGTGTCAATTTCACTTTTAAAAAATCAAAAAAAGCGTCATTTGACCAATGGGGACCAAGAGTGGTCAAACTTTTACATATGAATGTAGCTGTTCACTACAAAAAAGGCATCTAAATACTGCATCCCATGCAGGAAGACCATCTGTAATAGCAGACTAACACAGCCCAGTCCTCACTTGCTTTAACTAACTGTAAAGGTCACTGTATGAACAATAGCTTTTATGCCATGAACATGTGTTACCTTTCAGCTCCCCAACGTTAAACAAATGCAGAGAGGATGCATGCAAATAATACGGCTGTATGGAACGCCAAAGGGAGGAATTCATTTTACTATGACAGACACATATATCCTGTATCTCTAACCCTGTGTGAAATGAAATATGACACAGGAAAGTGATATTCACACACAGGTTATAGTTATGTAACTGTGACCCATTAGAGTCATTCTATGAAAAGAGTGTCATTTGAGTCCAAAACATCTGAGGCAATGTATAAAGGACACGAACCTGTTTTTCAAGCTTAAATACATGAATTAAAAGTTCATTATAAACATGGTGTATGAAAAGGGTATGTATTTTATTAATAAATATATTAAGAATACTGGCATTTTCACATGTGCATATAGAAGTTCTGTGCCAAATATTACTAAATAAAAGTTGAATTAACATAAAACGTTCACCCCCATGCTCAGAAGTATATCTGCTTTCACACTGTCATGCAAAATTCAATATATAAACAATAATTTTAAGACAAATCTAAAAATGTATCTGTCCTTGAGTTTTGCTTTCCACTCGCAACACAAAAGTTTGAACAGTGGTGGTCAAATTACATGTTTTGTTGATGATCTGGGTGGAAATAATTTTACACATCCTCTACAGGACAAAGCCTAAAACATAAAATATAAAATGTACCATAACTTTTGCACAGCTCACATTTATTGTTGTATTTTCCCCAAAACAGGTTAAAATGCATTCAAATGTGCAGAAGTGTGTTCTCTGTAGAGGACGTGAACTTATTTTTACTTAGAAGTTCAACTAAACATGTCATATCATGTCCATCCCGTCACACAAAACAGACAAAGTAAACATTATCAACTGATATTCATAGAAACTTCATAAATTTAAATAGGCAATATCATGAAATACTGAATAAGTTTGAAATGATATGTAAAAGTGTACTGTTCACTCCCCTATTCACAAAATATGTACATTGACCGGTCATTTCATTCAGTCCACTTCCTTGTTTCTACACTCTTTGTCCATTTTAACAGCTCTAATTACCACGGTTCACTTTGTAGTTCTACAATTACAGACTTTAGTCCACCTGTTTCTCTGTGTTCTTCGTTAGACCCCTTTTACTCTGTTCTTCAATGGTTAGGACCCCCACAGGACCACCACAGAGCAGGTATTATTTGGGTGGTGGATCATTCGTAGTGTGTGTAGCTGGTACGTGTTGATCAGACACAGTTTTCAAACACTCTGTCCACTCAATGTAAACTCTATTACACACTCCTACCTTGTTGTTTCACTTTGTAGATGTAAGGTCAGAGACGATAGCTCATCTGCTGCTGCACAGTTTGTGTTGGTCATCCTCTACTCTTTCATCGGTGGTCACAGGACGCTGCCCACAGGATGCTGTTGGCTGGATATTTCTGGTTGGTTGACTTTTCTCAGTCCACTGAGGTGTTTAAAAACTCCAGCAGCACTGCTGTGTCTGATCCACTCAGACCAGCGCAACACACACTAACACACCACCACCACATCAGTGTTACTGCAGTGCTGAGAATGATCCACCACCCAAATAGTACCTGCTCTGTAAGGGTCCATGGGGGTCCTGACCACTGAAGAACAGGGTGAAAGGGGGCTAACAAAGTATGCAGAGAAACAGATGGACTACAGTCTGTAACTGTAGAACTACAAAGTACTCCTATATGGATAATGGAGCTGATAAAATGGACAAAGAGCGTAGACAAAGGGAGATGGACTTAATGAAGTGGTCAGTTGTTGAATATGGAAATTAAGCTGCAAAACTGCTGTTTTGAATTCACTGTGTCCATGATGTCACAAGAACCAACTCATTTGCATATATCCACCTATTTAGCCTACAGCAGTTTAGCTCCGCCCATTCACACTGAAGTTCTGAGCAGTGGTTCCCAACACAGCACAGCCAATCAGAACAGAGGTCATTGACATATATGAGTCTTAAAGGTACAGTAACAAAAACAGCCTGTTTACTTCAAAAGGGTAGAGAGAGGTTGTAAAATGAACATATAAGAATGAATTATGATTATTTCTTGTACAAAAACAGGCACGACTGTTATAAGTGGATCTTAATTGAAAAATAATTAGTACAGTGGGTCAATGTCAGTATGATGAGGTTCAACTCAGTGTTATTTAACACAGTGTTTTGTTTTGGTTTTATTTTAGAAAGAGCAAGTTGTAAAAAGAACCAATGGAGGACAAAAAGTGGGATTTCTTGACATAAACATAATTATTTTAGCACGTTCAGTTCAATTCGCACTGATCTTGTGGAACGGCTCATTAACGGCCATATCCGCAAAACTATCTGAGCACAAATCTTCTGAAATATATTAAGTCAAACCACATGGACGGGTTTTTATCACGTATCATATGAAAAGTCAGTCTTTTAGTCAAACGAGATTCCTGTCACAGAAAATTCAAATTCTCCAGTGAATAAAAGTATGAAAATTACACCTTATTAAAAACCACAAATGGGAACTGACAGATGTTCATCCAAGGTCTAACTGCAGACTCTTAAAAATGATGGTTCTCCAAGGGTTCTTTAGTAAAGGCAATGGTCCTATTTAGAAAACTGAGCTCTATACAGATCCATTTCATGCTTAAATGGCTCTTTGCGTGGTAAGATGGTTCTTCAGATTGATGGAAAGTGTGTTGTATGGAACTTTACAGCACCAAAAAGGGGTTCTAACAATGGCAGAACCCGTTTTTGGTGTGAATATAGAACCATTTTCAAAAAGATTCTACACAGAACCACATACAACACATTCGCAATCTATCCTAAGGACCATTTCACCATGCAAAGAACCATTTAAGCATGAAATGGTTCTGTATAGAACTCATGGTTCTAAATAGAACCATTCCACTTAGTAAAGAACCATAATTTGTAAGTGTAATCGGTTTAGAACAAGCAGAACAGGTTCTGTGTTACTGTTCCTCATCACACTGGCTGTAGCTGTAGGACTGGGTGAGCGGCTCTCCTCAGGTGACCGCTAATGGAGCGGGTTTTGAACCCTTAGCACTTACTTTAATCCGCTCCACGCTGGCTTCCAGCTTCAGCTGCTCGACGGTCCTCCGCATGCTCGTCAAGTTGGAGTTAGAAGACATGATGGTTCGGGTCCAGAATGCAGCCTGACTGCCGAGAAGTTGAACACGCTTCAGATTCTCACCGAGCTGTCGGACGCAGCAGCCGGGTGTCGGGTTTTAGCGATGCGCCGCCAGTTTCAGGCTCTTGCGGAGGTGTGACTACACCCAGAGAGTGGAGGAGTTCTTCTCCCACCCGTTTTCCGACAAGTCGCGCCTTCTGCGCTGTGATTGGCTAAGATTTCGCCGTAGGGCGTTCTTGAACGCTACAAGCCAATCGGAGCGCAGAAGGCGTTCCAGTACTGTAGTTTTAATTATTTTAAGTGTAAGATGCTTAAAAGTTGATTCGTCATTTTAAATGACTTACTCTCAAATTTGGACATTTCTTGATGATTCCTCGATGTAAATATAGTCATTCAGAGTGGTCTGATGTGAAACTCACTAAATTAAAGCGCAAGTTACTTATTTTTCATCATTCTACATCTTTTTATTGAAGGGCAGCTTCACCAACTTTTCCAAATGTCTGCCTACATCAATTGTTTAGATGTAAACAAAGTCGTTCAGAGTGGTTTGGTGTGAAATGCTCCGTTCTAGACAAACTTACAGACTCTAATTTCTTTAGAAAAGAAAAGAAGAATAGAAAAGCAGTCACAATGTCTACGACACAAATAAAGCCATTTTATTCACCATCCAAAACCACCAGGGAACCTACACGTTTCCAGAGTTTTTAAATGGAATTTTGATGATGATAAAATAGAGATAAACTTGAAAGGAAAAAAAAAATGGGGACTATTTTTCCAACAGCCTGTATGTAGGCTACCATTCTGTCCTGTATGTTAAAACATAGCCTGAAGCCAAATCTTATCTCAAAACTATTGCAGAAAATGTCTCAGGCATCAGGCAGCATATTCATAACCATTTTGTAATAACCTTCTAATATGTAGCTTTAGGAATTAAAGGGGAACTTCACCAAATTTTCAAAAGTTCCAGATAATTATATGGCTAAGATGTAAACAAAGTCATTCAGAGCGGTTCAGTGTGAAATGCTCTGTTCTAGAGAAACAGAACAGTTCACAGTGGTGGTGATAGGAACCAGATGTCCACCTCTAAAGGCTCCCTTACAGAAAGTTATTACATGGAATGATTATAAATACGCTGCCTGATGTCTGAGACACTGATTTATGATAGTTTTGTGATAACGTTTTGGCATAAAATGCCTTATTAATCCATTTATTTTAATCACATGACTTTATGGTGGAGGGGTACATGGAGGGTACTGTAAGACAAAATAGGCCCCAAAGAAATCCTGTTTTTTTCAGATGTTCCACTATTTTACAATCATCAACATCACATATAAAACTCAGAAGACTCGTGTAGGTTCACTGGTGGTTTTGGATAGTAAACAAAATGACCATATTTGTGTTGTAGACATGGTGACCCCTGGTTCCTATCAGAGTCCAAATTTCTCTACAACAGACCATTTCATATCAGACCACTCTGAATGACTTTGTTTACATCTTAACAACTAAAGTAGGCAGACATTTGGAAAAATTGGTGAAACTGCCCTTCAGCAAAAAGATGTAAAGCGCTATAAAAACAAGGAACTTGTGCTTTAATTTATGTGTTAAAAATTAATAACTAGTTGCACATTATGTGCTATTATTACGTGTTATGTATATTATAATGTACATTTATTTATTTATTGTTTATTTATTTATTTTTCTTTTTCTTTTTCCTCTGCTTCTGGTGTTGTTTTATGGAGTCATTTAGTCTTTAACTGTCACAGTATTGTGATTAATGTCTCTGTTAATATTGGTTTTTGCATAAAAAAAATAATTACATTAAAAAAACGCTAGCCAGTGTGGTAGCGCAGAAGGGGCGGGGCTTTACGTTTCAACAACGGCGGTTTTGATGGAACTTTTAGCCAATCGTAGCGCAGGAGGGTGTGGTTTGCCGGAATACGGGTGGGAAAAATAGCCTAACACGTCATGGGAGTGTCCCAAACCGCACGTCCTGCTGCTCTCTGCATCTCTCCCATCCGCTGTAAACCAAATCGAAGCCACAGAAGTTGAGGGCGACCTTTCATAAAGAATAAAGTCAAAATACTCACTTTCTGAGCAGATATAGTTAAACAAAGCCCTCAAATGTTCATTTAAATTATAGAGGCAAGAGCACAGAGTAAGAGTGCGAGACTAGACTTCAAGAAATAAGGCACCAAGACAGAACTTTAATCCTCATTATAGTCGACTATATGCTGTTTAACACTACCGCTGTGTGAAGTGTCATTATGCCATAAGGTTAAAACTCTAAAACAGACTTTAGTGTGGCTTAATCGCATATTATCATGCATAATCCAGATATTAATTACAAATGTGTTGAAATTATACATGGATATTTACTAGACAGCTACTTATGAGATATGTTTATTTATGTATATTTAATGAGACATGTAAAAAGAAGTAACCAACAGACTCATGAGCAGGGATGGAAGTCATGCTATTCACCAATCGGCCATAACATTAAAACCTTGTTTCTACGCTCATTGTCCATTTTATCAGCTCCACTGACCATATAGGAGCACTTTGTAGTTCTACAGTTACAGACTGTAGTCCATCTGTTTCTCTGCATACTTTGTTAGCCCCCTTTCACCCTGTTCTTCAGTGGTCAGGACCCCCACTGACCCTCACAGAGCAGGTACTATTTGGGTGATGGATCATTCACAGCACTGCAGTAACACTGAAGTGGTGGTGGTGTGTTAGTGTGTGTTGTGCTGGTCTGAGTGGATCAGACGCAGCAGTGCTGCTGGAGTTTTTAAACACTGCGTCCACTCACTGTCCACTCTATTAGACACTCCTACCTTGTCTGTCCACCCTGTAGATGAAAGATCAAAGACAGTAGCTCATCTGTTGCTGCACAGTTTGTGTTGGTCATCCTCTAGTCCTTCATCAGTGGTCACAGGACGCTGTTGGCTGGATATTTTTGGTTGGTTGACTATTCTCAGTCCAGCAGTGACACTAAGGTGTTTAAAAACTCCAGCAGCACTGCTGTGTCTGATCCACTCAGACCAGCGCAACACACACTAACACACCACCACCACGCCAGTGTTACTGCAGTGCTGAGAATGATCCACCACCCAAATAGTACCTGCTCTGTGGTGGTCCTGTGGGTTCCTGACCATTGAAGAACAGGGTAAAAGGGGGCTAAAAAAGTATGCAGAGAAACAGATGGACTACAGTCTGTAACTGTAGAACTACAAAGTGCACCTATATGGTAAGTGGAGCTGATAAAATGGACACTGAGTGTAGAAACAAGGAGGTGGTGTTAATGTTTTGGTTGATCAGTGTATATTTCACACTTCCACCAGCGGTGGTGCGGTTCTGGGTTCAGTTTTTGCATTTCATACCCTGATAAATATGAGTAAATGGATGAAAGTGAACTGGACACAGATCAACACGCCTGAGAGGTTTGATACACTTAGCCTCAGAGCCTTTATTCACAGAGAGCGGTTGTCTTGCTTCTTATACTGAGTAAGAGTCTGCTTGAATTCATTTACATTCACAACCCAGTGACAATGAGCATATGCAAAACAGAAACTGATCCTAAACCAGGCTTGGCTCAAATTTCAGTTCCAAAGAATACGTCTTTAAAGAGCCCATAGCTCCGAATACCAAACAGTGCGCACTTTTCTGAAATAAGGGTTTGATATAATCTGCAAATATTGATAAAGATTTAAAACGTATACCTTAGTCCTCAGTCCATACAGTCAAATAATGGAAATTAAGCTGCAATTTCGCTGTTTTTGTGATGTCACAAAAACCAATGCATTTACCTATTTCTGCCTGTCCTGGTTACAGCAGGCTCCACCCACTCATGCTGAAGTTATAAGGAGTGTTTCAGCCTTGCTTTTTGAATGCAGTACAATACAGGGCAGCCAAACAGAACAGAGCTCATATAAATATTAATATAAACATTAAAATGGAAATCAAGGAAAAAAATAAACTTAAAAAAAAGAAGAAAGAAAGACGAGTGCTATAAAAGAGCCCACTTTCAAACTTTAGCCAAAATGTGTTTAGTGTTTTTTAATGGACTGAATGACTGACTGACTGACCAATACCCAACATTACCTGAAGCCAACACTGACCTTTTTTTATCTTGTTTGTTTACATTCCTGGTCATATTAAGCAGGGGCATGTCTATGGGTGGGCTGGAGTGGGCGTTGCCCACCCAGAGATGAGCCTTGCCTACCCAGAGGAATCATCAGCCCACCCAATGAAAGCTCTGAAAAACATCACCGCTATAGTGTTGATAGTTTCTATCAAAGTTAATTTTGTCTTTGCACTGCTTTTCCACTGGTCATTTTAAACTTGTGAAAAACAACATTTTGTTGTTGCCCACCCTAATAATTCAAATGCCCACCCAAAGATGACATCCTAGGACCACCTCTGATATTAAGCAAGATTCATCAGATCTTACCATTTAAAAGACAAGTTTCAAAAAACGTTCACCTACCAGAACATATACTGTATGGAAACTAACCGCAAAAAAACCTTTTAATTCAGCGTTTTTGTGATGTCACAAAAGGCAATACATTAACTTATATCTCATTATTCAGTTTAGGCTGATTCAGACTGACGTTTTAAGGCGTGTTTTAGCCTGCACTGTTTTTTGAATGAGGCAGAATACACAACAGCCAATCAGAACAGAGCTCATTTACATACACAATCTTGAAGGACATAGAAACAAAAACAGCCTGTTTAAGAGAGATTTGAAAATGATCATGCAAAAATTAATCATGACCGTTTTTGGTAGATAAATACACACAAACATAAGAAGTGGATCTCAGGGGAAACAATAGAGTATAAGCGTCCTTTAAATTTGCTTAGACTTTTGTGCAAAACTAAAGGAGTGAACTCTCCCCGTCCCACCACCCCCACCTATCACAGAGAGAAAACACTCAGCTAGCCCAAAGACCCTCCATGATAGTGTTTCACTCGGAAATTCATCACAGTGTGGAAGGAAAATGAGTCACGACTTCCCATTCACATTAACTTTTAGTGACACACCATTCTTAAGATTTACTCACCGGACACTTTTTTGGAAACCCCTTGTGACGCCACCTTGCTGGTGTACAGTTAGAGACTAAGGCTCTGTATCTGCTGCAGAGTTTGTTATCCATCGTCTAGCTTAGTTTCTGACCACAGAGCCACTCCTGTCTGGATATTTTTGGGTGGCGGTCCACTCTCAATCAAGCAACACTGGTGTGTGCAAAATGCCCAACAACACCACTGTGTCTCATAGCAGCACCAGACAAACCACCACGTGAGAGTCACTGCTGTGCTGAGAATAGACCACCACCCACATAATATCTGGACAACAGTGGTCAGAAACTGACCAATGAAGAATGGGATGAAGAGCAGATGACATTGTACAGCAACAGATGGGTTACAGTCTGTTATTGTGCACTTATATAGTGGACCTATAATATAGGTTGAGCTCATAAAGTGGCAAGTGGCTCCCTTGAGAAAGATTGATTAAAAAAAAAACTACAAATCTAACCTTTAATTGAAGTAAATATAGTCAGAGAAAACAAAAGCCCTTATTTACATTTTTTAGAAAACCAGATTTTAACAATTTCTGCCACCTCTAGAAATGCTTATGAACAAACTATAACTAAAGGATGTTTCCATTTATAGCCTATTTGAGTGTTCAGAAACTTAAGTGTTCATCCATCACCTCCGGTTACACTAGGGCATAAATATGAGGTGACACACAGACATTTATCCTTCCTCTTATGAATGAATTTTTATGAAAGGATTTTTTCCTATCATCAACATTCGTCAACACTGAGAAGACTGGAGCGTACACAAATAAAATGAGACAAAAGTGTGCTGACCTACAGCTGACGGCTATTACCAAAATAACTGTATGCATGAAAATGCCAATATCCACTGTGAGGGGAAAAATGAATAAAGTTTAAAACAACCAGAGTTGTAGTGAACTTGCCTGGATATTTGCCCCTATGCACAGTGAGGAGGAAGACGGCAGCATTTTGGCATCACCATGCCAACAAACTATTTGGAAGGCATGTCTAACCCCAGACGTAGTGCTAGCCACTACTGGAACTCAGCTGAAGCATAAATTGGACGTCATTCATCAACATCTTAAGATGTTTCTTAACCCTTGTGTGATATTCAGGTCTGTGGGACCCATTTTCAATGTTTACCAAAAGAAAAAATGATGCAATTTATTATTTCAACCTCAGATTCTTTGTCCTTTGCTCATTTTCTGTGAAGAGAATATAAAATAACACATTTTCAGTGTGTTCACTCTGTTCACCCCCCACACATTTATATTACACGTGGTGTTGGGGTGAACCCACGGGGAATAAAAGTGTGGAGGTGCTGTGTCCTTCACTCTGTTCTCCTCCTACATGGCCTGTTAGTGTGTGTGTGTGTCTGTGTGTGTGTTTGTATACGTGTGTGTTTGAGGGTGGAAACATGGACAGGCTGCTGACTGGCTACAGCTGCTAAAGGAGAACCCTACGCTGGCCAGTTGTGATATTTTAAACATCTGGCATTTTTACATAAATTGTTATGGCTGTATTGATATAAAAAGCAACAATGCAGTGGGTCCACCAGACCACTGAGTGACAAACACATCAATACCACACAAGGGTTACATCTGTTCTTGAGAAAGGTCCTAAGAAAAAGTCTACATCAGGTTCACGACGTGTTCTTAAACCGCAGAACTGTTCTCACCTTTGTGCTCTTGAGTGTGTAGATTCTGTTCTTACCTGAGAACAAATCCCAAATAAGAAAACACTGGCGAATGTCAGAATCTTTGTGAAAAACTGCATAAGTGGGTTTTCAGAAGAAATTCATTCTTAAGAATGGTTGGTGCATGAGGTCCACTGAGCTTTTTGCCAACAAATACTCAAAGTGGGTTTGGCGTACAGAGAAGGATGGTTATACAGAAATGGTTATATATTGTTGGCCATGGTGGAAGATCTGTGGTGTTTTAGGGCTGGTTTTCCTCCAAAGGTCCTGAGAAACTTGTTAGGACACATGACATAATGGAAGTACCAGATGTTAAATGAAAATCTGGCTGCCTCTGGCAAAAAGCTAAAACTGGATCATGGTTGGATCTCTCAGCAGGACGATGATCTAAACCACATGTCCAAACCCACACAAAAATGGTTCAATGACCACAGACTTAAGCTTTTGACATTGCCACCCCAGTGCGCTGACCTAAACCCTTACCTACAATTGTGACCTGTTTAAAAACCAAACAACCAAACAAATAAATAAAGGATTTCTTGTGTTTTAGATTATATTTGTGTCAAATGTTGGATTACCTTCATATTTTCAGTGTGAAACTGAGCTAATTAACCAAGACAATCTTTTTTTTTTTTACTCCTCTTTACTAAGGGTGCCAATGATTATGGAGCTGACTGAATATAGTGGACCTATAAGGTAGACGGACCTCATAAAGTGTTCAGTGAGTAGAAGTCCAAGGTAAGTGGACATTGAATGTATTGCTTAAGACTCACTCAGGCCACAGGTTAACAGTTTAACAGTCACTTTAATATTCTTTTAAAAATATAATATTCCATTGGTGAGATGCATAAAGAGGCAAAACAGGTGGGACAGACAGACAGATCGACAGCCTTGCCGTACGACCAAAAGGCCAAAGCTGACAGCAGCGAGTGGATGAGCTCACCGCTCTGATTGCTAATCAAAACCTGGAGCTGCCAAGAACTCCAAAACTCCCAGATCTGCTCCAGAGAGCTCCTCTCGGACAGGGAGAGCAGACAGCTCGGTTACAGCAGCCTCCATACACACAGAATAGCCCTCACCTTAGAGTCTCATTATTATCTATGAAAAATCAGTCAAAGGTCTTGATATAAACGCACATAAAAGTCCTGTGTAAACATGAGCGTATGTACTCTAACACGCACAGGCAGGCTGGTTGTTGTAAAGAGACCAGTATGTGCGTGATGTGTGCGGTCAATCATCGATGAAAGTGATGCGGCCAGGCCCTTCGCTCTTCATCCATCGTCTGTAGCGTTTCCACCGCGGGTCCATGGCCATCTTCATCTTCATCTCCTCCTCCTGCTCTTCTCTATATACCTGCAACAGCAACATGCGAACCTCGATCAATACCAGAAACCGCAGGAAAATGATTTGTTTACAGTATTCTGAGTTTTTCTTTGCACATTTTACAATAATCAAGATTGTCTGTCTTAAAAGCAACAAAATAAGATAAAAACAACTGTTAAACCAGCACAACTGTCCCCTTACCCCAAACATAGGCAATCAGCCAAAATATGTTTGGAGTTGAAATTGTGCTTCTTATGCACTAAAGCTACAAGTCCAATGTGAGTTAAAGAGTAATAGAAGACCAAACCAGAATGTTTGTAAAGATAAATATTGGCTAAACGTCTGGGTGGATAACAGACCTTTAAACTTATTTTAAAGAGAATAACGTTATAATTTAAAAGACAACTTGGACCAGAACAGCTTTAGTAGCATACAGGTTTGCTAATATCATCAGCAATGAGATCAGGAGCAACATAGCTACCTTCCTCTCATAGCTACAGTGCAACAGGTTAATGATTAACAAAGTAAAGTGAACATAACTAAAGTTAACGAGCAAGCACAACTAAAGTTAACGAGCCAGCATTACTAAAGTTAACGAGCCAGCATTACTAAAGTTAACGAGCAAGCACAACTAAAGTTAACGAGAAAGCATAACTAAAGTTAACGAGCAAGCTTTACTAAAGTTAACGAGTGAGAACTACTAAAGTTAACGAGTGAGTGTTACTACAGTTACCAAATGAGCATTAACAAAGTTAACGAGTGAGCATTACTAAATTTAATGAGAACATTAACAAAGTTAACAGTGAGTTAGCATCAAAAAAGTTAATGTTTCAATATGTTAACATTAACAAAATTAATAAATTAGCATTAATAAAGCCAGTTTGCATCAATAAAGTTAATAAGTCAGCATCAATAAAACAAATTAAATTAGCATTAGAAACACTGATACAAAATGCCGCTAAAATATCGCTGAACTGAAAAGCAAAATCCCAGTATGTTACAATCCATAATAAAAATCATAAAATATAAATGATAACATTCCAAAACTGACGCAGCAGAAACATTCAGCTGGATGCACCGCGAAACAAACCACTTCTCTTACAAACCCACCTCATAGTTTTCCTTAATCCACAGCTGGCGCTCCAGGAAGGTTCGCCTGAGGTGATCGTCCAGGCTGTCGAACTGAGCCTGCGACATCTTCATGTTCTTGCGGATGATGTACAGCTTCTCCTCCTCTCCGTACTCCTCTCCGCGAATGCTGAAGCGATAGACCCACGAGCAGTACCACGCCACGTAGGTGCACAGGTAGTACGGGAACAGAATGATCTTACAGAGGAGAATGTCGGAGATGTTGGGCTTCTGGTAGCCCCCTTTGATGTCTATCTTGTTTTTGATGATGTCTCGTATGATCTCCTCCTCCTCCTCGCGGATCTCCTCTTTGGAGCGCCGGTTCTTGCCCTTCTCTTTGGTGCGGTTTAACAGGCCTTGCTGCTTGGCCAGCTCGGTCGCCTGGATGCGATACTTTGGGACGGTGGTGAGATAGTTGATGGCTTCAGTGTAGCTGCTCCACCAGCTGTAATACTGCGGAGAAAATCAGATGGTGTCCATAAAGAGTACTGTGTGAAAATATTAGGCAGCCAGAAACATAATTTCAAACTATTTATAGCAGTAAGCATGCCAGATGAAACCTACCTGAAAAAGTGAGATTGCGCACACAGTTACGAGAATGACTATCCTAACGTCCACTTTGGGTGCCAGCCTTCTCCTGTAGTAAGTGTAGTAGTGGCTGTAATATTCCTCTGGGTGATCCAGCATGTAGTCATAGTCCTTGCGTGATTCTTCATCCTGTAAATGACAATATAAATCTTGCATTAACTTCATATACTATTCAAAATCAATGTGTTAAATGTAATTACAGGCCTGTGCCAGTAAGTAAGTCCTCTTATTCAGGTAACCGTGTGGAAAGTAACCGCAGTAAACTGTTCAACTGGACAGTTTTTATTTATGTCACTGTTTCATCCGGTAATTTTGTGATGGTCCTTTATTCTTTATTTTAGTCTTCAACTTGACCAAGAAGCTGTAATTAATCTAGAAAGAATGAAATTATTAACGTCACACAAACTTTACCTACTTTAGTTTTTGTGGTCACTTCTTCTCCAAAGCCATTTCGGCACAAAGCTGAAGTTAGCTTCTCATTTGAATTTACCGATCCACCTTAAATGGTGCAGCAGTTACATTCTGTCCCCTGAGTGCGAGAGTTTAACTGCTGCACCATTTAAGGTGGACCAGAATTTGAATAAGACGCTGGCGAACCGGAAGCCAATTTCAGCCTCAACATTTGCCTGAGATTGTTCGAACGAGATGAACGAGAGCCAAAATGTTTTTTTCGTACCTAATTTTACGTTTTTCCTGAGAAGTAACTTTTCTGATGTGTGAAACCTGATGCTGATGAAGTAAATCAATAAACGAAAGACATTTTTAAACCGGTGGTAAAATGTTTTTATTGTCTCTGCTGTTACCACGGTAACTGTGCTAATCGCCACCGGGCCCAGGACTAGACCCACATTTGGTTTCCTAAAAAAAAACTTTCAATGGAGGCAATAAATGAGATACGCAAGCCTGAAAGAACTTTTTAAAGTTTAATAAATCTCCACATAATGTAAAGCTTTTATGAATTATACTTAAAAGTTTTTGCCTGAACTGTATTTGGTAACCTTTATTTTTAACAGTGCACTATGAACTGATTTCAACCCGATTTCAACCATTACAAGAATTAATTAAGCATTTTGGTTGAACAAAGAAAAGTATGTCAGAAACATGAAAACGAGCGGTGCTCAGCTGTGAATTCACACAGATTACATTACTTATGTACACAGAGTGTGAAGTCAATGTGAATCATATGGCATCTTCCTTCTGTGCTGAGTGGAACCAAAGTCCATATAAAGAAAGTCTGTTCACTCAGCAGCCATCTTTGCAACGTCACCAAGCAGGTATTTCCAGACCTACAAGACCAGAATCCTATTTTTTTTTAAATGGGATCAGACCAAAATACTTGATACTGAAAGTCAAATTATCATTTCAAAAACATATCTGAAATAACTGATAAAATCTGATAAAAATCTCATGAATAGTTTGTAGTGTTTGGCTCAGAAATGCACAAACACGTCCACAACACGGGGGAGTCTTTCCCTTTATCCTTTCATAAAGTGACCACATTGGTTTAACCACATGTATATCTGTATTCAGGGGTGGTCTTTTAACTAGGCAAAGTTAGGAAGCCGCCTAAGGCCCCCAGGGCCCCTAAATACTGTAGATACTGTATGTGGTGATTTTAAAACGGCCTGTTCTGAAATACATATGCCTTTTAAAAATAGCTGTTATTTGCAATTGTAGTGATTATTTTCAGTAATGTGAGTGCAGCCCCCCCAATCACGGTTATAACGGGATATTTAAGGTTATGAGGTGACACAACCGCGTAAAGACAGACGGGTATTGAAAAGGTTATTAAGCAGTAATCTACACTATGGGTGGGAGGTTCTTCTGGGTGTTAAGAAGGAAAATCAAATAAAGTTTTAAAAGTGCAGCAAAGAAACAAAAAATTGGGAGGAAAGCAAAAAGTTTGGCGCTACACTCTCAAAGCTAACTTTCAGTCAGAACAGAGAACTGCAGTGGCTCAGACTGTACATAAGGCTAGTGCTGATGTTAGTATAGCTCCAAAAAGTAATATATTCTCTCAGAGTGTAATGGGACTACATTAATTACTTCTTTCCAGAAAAGTCATTTTATCACTCCTTACTTTACTTCTATGTTCTGTGATATTTTGGCTTATTTCAAGCAATATTTCTTAAAACAAACAAAACGATGTGGCAATACAGTGAGATAATTTCATATAATAAAAGTAGAAATTATCTAGAAATAAATTGAATAATCTCATAATATTTTTATCGCAATCTCAAAATGAGAAATTAGACAAGATCAATAGATTTAAGATGATCTCACTTGCCAACACTAAAAAGTGATGTGCTAAATAACAGCACACTTACTTTTGTTACCCATTTTAACACTGTTGTACTGTTTTCTGATTAAAAGTAACACAGAATGTGTTTCCTCCAACTGAACACACTGATGTGTCTAGTCAGAGACAGAATGTGTTGTTTTTTAACACGTCTGTTTTTAGAGTGACGATATCACTTTCTGCAGTGTAGACAGCTGAGTCACTCATTTAAAAATGTACATTCGGGGGGCTCCATTCCCGTCTTCCGACTACACTCTTAAAAACAGATGGCTCTTCAAGGGTTCTTTAGGAAAAGCAAAGGTTCTGTTTAGAACTATGAGTCCGTCATAGACCCATTTCATGTTTAGAAGGTTCTCTGCATGGTGAAATGGTTCTTCAGGTAGATGGAGGATGTGTTGTGTTGTATATGGTTCTATATAGAACTGTTCAGAAACTGGTTCTATATAGCACCAAAAAGGGTTCTTCTATTGTTACATGCTTGACATCATCATGATAGAAGAACCCTTTTTGGTGCTATCTAACAGAGAAAAAGAAGAACCAATAGGGATACAGTTTAAAAAGTACTAAAGACTAACTTTTGTTCAGTGTTTTGCACACCGTTCACCAAATCCAGTCAGACAGGGCTGATTTTGCTCTCTTTATAGGGAAACATGCAGGTGGTCAGTGCTCTGCTACTGCACAGTCACTCTCACTGCGCTCGTTAGACTGTCAACACTGCAGATATTCCTAGTTTTTATACTTATTGTGTTGTAAACTACCTCATACCACTTAGTTCAATACCTGCTCTCATGTAAATACAACAAGTCTGTCTTATATGCTGTGTAAATACACAAACTGATAAACGTCTATTTCTACTCACACACTTTAACTTATGTCTATTTTATTTCTGCCTAATATATGCAAGTTATATATATATATATTTATATAAAATATATGTGCAATTCTATGTATTGCTACACTGCAATATCCATCTATCTATCTATCTGTCTGTCTATCTATATGTACTGACTGTATCTAAGATACGTTCAGAAAAGTGTATTGTACTGTATTGTCATACTGCCCAGCCCGAACCCACAGAAACAATTCAGCCAACGTTCACATTACAGGCCTCATTGCTCAAATCCGATCTCTCCAACACAATGGTTCACACTCACTTAGGTAAGTGGTTCTAATCTGTCATTAATGTGGACATTAAGGTGTCCTGAAATGACCCGCATACGCACAACTTACTAAGTAACGTCAAGTGAATGAATCACGAGCGTCACGCGCATCATCAGTAAACAGACTAACGAGCAGAACGAGCCTTCTGTGAAGATCATTAACTCTGATCAGCTCTCAGCTTCATTATTAGAGCGAGAGTGAAAAAGGTGAGATTTAACTTATTAACTTTACAGGCTTTAACTTCTGTTCAGCGCTGCTGCCATGGTAACGCTGAATGACGGCGCAGGCGCAGTGGAAAAAAGGCATGAATTCCGATCTGAGCATCACATTAAGGTTGCATGGCCACGAATCAGATACGTATCCGATCTAGAACCACATATGAAAGTGACTCAGGTCGGATTTGAAAAGATCAGATTTTCATGTCCACGCAGCCCTGAAAACATCAGATCTGAGTCACATTAGGGCAAAAAAATCAGATTTGTGTCACTTCAACCTGGTAATGTGAACGTAGCCTTGTGTGTTTCTGTCAGTTGCTGATGGTTTTGTAATGTGTTTTGGCTTTTTTTTAATGGGCTAATATCACAGTGTAAATGATCCTAATGGTTTATCAGGTGACCACTGGCTGATTCTAAATGCATTCTGTGCTTTCCTAATGGGATCTAAATGTATCCTACAGGAAACTAGTGGTCTCTGTTGAAAACCATTAACCCAATTCCTATTAGAAAGCAAAACCTTTAGGTTTTAATCCTAATAGTTTCTAATGGTCCTTTGTCAGCAGGGCTACTACCACAGTCGGGCCCCCACAGAAGAGTTTAAAGGGAGTCTGCTCTCACTTTCAGAGTCTCGTAGGCCGTGGCGATGAGCAGGAACCTCTGCTGGCCCTCCTCGCCCTCCTCTCCCTGGTAGCGGTCGGGGTGATACTTTCTGGCCAGCTGCCGATAAGCGCGCCCGATCTCCGCCTTGCTGGCCTCTCTGCTCACCCCCAGCACGTCGTAGCAGATCTGCGTCCCGCAGTAAAGCCCTTCAATCAGGGCGGAGGCGGACGGGATCCACACGGCCGCAACGAGGAGCGCAGCCCCGAGTAAACCCACCCGCACCGAGCCCGCTGTGGAAGCAGCCATGTCAGCATAGCGAGCTCTGTCGCGCCTTGAGTGACGTCGGGACGCGTTCACGAGGTCGCTGGTGGGAGTTGTAGTCCTGAAACGTCTCGCTATAGAACTACAGTGACGGCAAGTTCAGTTCTGTTTATCGGATTCTTTTGAACGAATCGAACGACAGATTGAACGATCCGCTGATTCACCAGTCAAGTCAACTTTAATTCAGTTCTATTTAATTCATTTTTAATTTTGTATTCAATCTGAATCAGTTTTTTTTTCTGCCGGAGTACATCCAAAAAACATAAAACATTAAATATAAAATATAAATAAAATACAATAAAATTAAAGGGATACAGTGATCTTTTTTTTTTTAAAAAAAAGGTGTAGCTTAAATGAATATATTGAGGCCACTAGTTACTATATTTTAGGCCACGAATTAGTTTGTTGAATCACAAATTAAATTTTTCATAACTCATAAAACCAATAGAAGTGTTGGTTCCTGATGGTTTTGTAATGCGGTTTGGCTTTTTTAAAAGGTTGATATCTCAGTGTAAAGGATATCCTAATGGTTTCACAGGTGACCAACGGCTGATTTTAAATGCATTTGATAGTATCCTAATGGGATCTAAACGTGTTCTACAGGAAACTAGTGGTCTCTAATGGAAGCCATTAAGCCAATTCCCATTAGAAAACAAAACCATTAGGTTTTAAATAGGTTTTAATCATAATGTTCCCCTTTTCAGCACTTAATTTGTGGCCTTAATATATCACTCGGTGGCCTCAGTGCAGTAATTAGTGGCCATGCCTTATTAAAATATAATCACCACTGTAGGGTGTTATTATTATTAACTTCCATCAAATCAGGATTTCTCAGTAAACTGCATAACTTTAGCCAAAAGTCGAGGATTGTCCTGAACAATGTTTCTGAGTTTGTCAACTGGACAGGCTTATTTTTTCGGCTTAAGCTGTTAGGCTAACCAAGAAATCCCTGGTGATAACATGGAAAGCGTTTCTCCACAGTGTCCTGTCGTCTGTTTGGGCCCTTAATCCAGTGTTGTGTACAATATATCAGAGTGATATGAACGTTTGGGCTAAATTCCTAATGCTGCCTTCACTCACCATTATAAGTCACCTTGGATAAAAATGACTCCTAAATACTGCCGACATATTTGGCACACCAAAGAATAATAATAATAATAATAATAATAATGTTTATTATTTTTTTATTATTATTATTATTGGTACATCCCTGCGGGTATACATTTTGATAAATATTGTATTCTGGTGATACACTAGCAGTTCGCGACGTGACACTTTTTCTGCAAATTGTCCATAAATTCAACCAGGCAATGGGGTGCATTCAACTAGCCAATCAGAGCTCAGGAGGGGAAACTGGAACATTCAGATTGTAGTAAAGGGATTCGAATAGCCAATCAGAGCTCAGGAGGGGAAACCGGACCATTCAGATTGTAGTAAAGGGATTCGAATAGCCAATCAGAGCTCAGGAGGGGAAACCGGACCATTCAGATTGCAGTAAAGGGATTCAAGCAGCCAATCAGAGCTCAAGAGGGAAAACCGGACCATTCAGATTGTAGAAAAGGGATTCGAATAGCCAATCAGAGCTCAGGAGGGGAAACCGGACCATTCAGATTGCAGTAAAGGGATTCAAGCAGCCAATCAGAGCTCAAGAGGGAAAACCGGACCATTCAGATTTTAGAAAAGGGATTCGAATAGCCAATCTGAGCACAGAAGGGGAAACCGGACCATTCAGATTGTAGTAAAGGGATTCGAATAGCCAATCAGAGCTCAGGAGGGAAAACCGGACCATTCAGATTGCAGTACTCCAGTCAGATTGTAGGTTTCAATAAATTTGCCCTATGCTCGCCCTCTAGCGTCAACTCTGGAAAGACCAGTCTCAGAAGAGAAAGCCAAGCAAAGTTGGTCTAAACCTTAATATTCTTATTAATACAGTTGTTAATATTGATAATCTTATTCTGTACTTTCCCTACTCGTTCTATACATCCCATTTCTGACGTGATTATCTTCCTGCTGATCTATTTTTATAAGCTGAGTTTTACCCCATACTGGTCTCAGTTCTGTGGCCTTCATGAAAACAACACAGGGCACGGTGTTCATTCTTTCTTTTTTTAATACAAAAGGTATCAATCAGTAAAAGATACAACTTTTCCAAGCAAAAAATGTCTCAGCAGGTTGCTTTACTGACCTTCATTACATTTACCCTTTCAGCACTGACAGAAAAAAAAGAAAGAAAAAAAAAAGTGATATTGCTTGTTTTTTTAAACCCCAAACTAAATATTTGGAACATTAAGCCAGATAAAAAGTACTGATACAACTGCTGTGCTCAGCTGTACTGTTTAACAGTCCTTTAAGTAGCTAGGTACAATAACATATCACAGACACTAGCACGTGCACGGCCTCGAACCTTCCTGGTAGAGACACTTGTAGCGCTGATTAACAGTGAAGGCAGGGAACGGGTAGATTTGTCCTAAAACGGAAAAGAAAGAAAGAAATCCTAACATCTCCCTCCCAGTATGGCAGGCCACACTGACGCAGCAATGCCTCCAGAAGTTTAATGATTAAAAAGAAATAGGAAAAAACTTGTTTTTTGGTTGTCACAGTAGAAAACACTGCATGCATGATACAAACGACCATTAGAGCCAGTAAAATAATATACATATTTTAAAAGAACACTTTGAAAAGAACAGTTCAGCTTTTTGAAGTACAGTTCAGCTTTATACAACAACAGAAAGACGACCCATCACATTATCTACAAAAAACAGAAGGGCTGTGTTGTCTGGACACAAATTAGGCCTAGTTCCAGGACTAAGGATTTTCAATGGAGAATCCATACTGACAAAGAGCAGTCAGAGTAATTTAGACGACAGCTAGGCTTTTTCTGCGCCCCATAAAGGGTGGGAGGGTTAAAAAAAAAAGAAAAAAAAAAGCATGATCTATGTTCTATCTGCGGTAGCGGCCCCTCTCCTTCTCCCTCTCACGGTCTCTGATGCGGTCCCTCTCGCGGTCCCTCTCTCGACCGCGCTCTCTCTCTCTGTCTCTCCTGGCATCCCGAGGTCGGTCACGTTCTCGCTGCCTCTCGCGCTCTCTCGGACGGCTCCTGCGCCCGCTCACCACCGCCTGAGTGCGCCTCAGGAAGTCATCCACGCGCATGTCGTAATCATGCTATGAAGAAGAGAGAGTTAAAGGTCATTAATGTCATTTGACATACAGTGCAGTTTTGTACATGTAGATCCTCCCCCCCACAAAGATGTTTCAAATCTGATTGTAAAATGAGTGTATGCAAATTTTCAGTAATTATTTTCAGAAACTTGTACAAGTCGTGTGTCACAGTGTAGATTTTAGCATAATATCACAAAAATCTAAAAAAAAAATGCCTGATTTGTGGTGAAGTCATGAACTCATTATTAAATGGGGCAACAATTTAATTGTTAGGCCAATCATAGGGAGATCGCTAGTTCGATCTCCAGTGATGCCACAGCTTCCCCTGGCCAGGAGTCCAAAAGAGCATAAATTGGCCTCTATCTCTTTGACCATGTAGGATGGTCCTCAGTCTCCCTCATTTGGCGTGATGCTAGCAAATGCCACCATCTGTTAACTGATGTAACAGAACTGACAGTTGGTGTCCTCCAAGAGTGCTGAGCTGTCCAACGATGCCGTGTTTAGTGGCAGTTCAAAAAGATGTGCTTTTTCACTTCACAACACATTCTAGCCTTCACTTTCCCAACTTGGTAGCACTGTATGATGGGGTGGAACTGGCAATGGCAACATTGGGGATTAATAACAAGAAAACTAAAAATGTTTTGTTTTCTATTGCTCCAAATGTGCTCGAATGCTTAAGTGATCTCTTACCAAGCTAGAAGAGAACGAGCGAACAACCCTCTTCTCCCTGAAGCGAGCATCGTGGGGCATGGGATGATGGCCAGAGTAGGGAGGGTGTGCCTGGGGTGGCGGAGGGTGGTGCTGGTAATACGGGTGGTGTGGAGGTTGCTCCATGCCGGGGTATGGTGCCTTCAGAGAAACGCAAAACCAACAAACCAGAAGACTGATTAACTCAATGAATGTGATGAGCTCGGTACCCCGCCAACATCATTTTCAGCATGCAGAAACAGTGCTACTGCGTTTCCTTTCTTGTTGCATGCATGTGTATTTCTGAGTTCATTCAGAGTACAATTCAGATCAATAAGTGCTTATTGATGATTTATTTAATCAGAGTTAACATTAAGGTGCAACTGATGTGTAACAAATTCCTCTGTGTGTGTTTCCTTGTTTAATAAATTAGTTTGAGAGACAAACTAAATAAAAATCTCAATTTCTTTTTAGGTTTATTGGGTCAAGTTCTTTACTTATCAAAATAAATGCAACAGCAGCACAGAGAAATCAAATGATTAACGAAGAAGAGATTCAACAGCAGAAACAGCCACTTTTTTGCATCAGGTTTAAGGGGTTAACAGACAAGATACGATGTAAGAGCTAAACGAAGCTCATTTAACAACACTCACCATGCCTTGCCATGGTGGTGGAGGCCCAATGTTGTGATGAAATTCTCGCATGTAATCATTATAAGACTGCAGAGAACAAATGAAATAAATCAGACAACAAATGCCAGTGTGTCTACTCAACCGAGACAAAGGCAATTTATCACGCCCTGTCTGAACAAAAAAGCGGTAAAAGCAATATATACAATTTTAAAAAAAAAGAATTTCTCTTTAAAGACCAGTACAATGCTCAGTACTGTTTTTCGGCATCTTAAAAATCAGTAAGCCCCCCTGAAACTATGCTACTAGTTGGCATTCACAGCATTTAACAGTTTATGCCACATAATTATAATATTAATTCTGAGTAAACAGCTGAAGATTAAAAACTCACCCCATTGAGGAAGACATCTCGCCTCACTCCGGAGAAGCGCCTGTGGAAGAATTCAAAGACGGAAGTTTAAATGCTGGCCTAAACCCCAGATAAAGACAAAAAAAAAAAAAGTGACAAGATGAAGGGCGCA